CAGCTTAATATCATTTCGAAATTATTGGGGTTTTGATGACGCCACTTTTATCATTTCCGAAACAGTGGTAAAATCTGAATTTCATGTGTCGATTAAGCAGGGGATTTCAACGAAAAAAAATACCGGTGAAATTTAGCATTGATTTGAAAAGTGTGATGGCGACGTGTTAAACGACATCGTAACAACGTCGATGCTGTTGAACACGCACTGAACACCTGCGAAGTGTCCTACGTCGGAAAAAATTTTCTTGCCAAGAAATGACTAACAATCTTAAAAATATTAAACAGTAATATATTAACTATTTTGCATTAGATCTGCGAAATCTATTTTCCAAATCTGTGTACCGCGTTCCAACTAAAACCGCATTCAATAAAAACTTCAGCGTGTTCCTAATTGAAAGCGTTAAAGTACGAATTACCACCGTAACCTTTGGATCAGAACATCAGAGACTATTGTCAGTTTTGTAATCCGCAAAAGAATGTCATAGGGAAGAATATTTGAATCAAATGATGAATTCTGCACCACTCGCTCCTTAAAAAACTATTGAAATATTACAAAAGTATTTTGGGGATTAATGGGTGGTCACATCCATCATTCTTTATGTGAACGAATTAAGTCGTGTTTGTCCCGGGAATTATTGAGCCATAAACGATGTACTATTTACAAGCTCTGCTATAGGTCACAATTTGCTGGCGAATTAGACCCAATTACATATGAAAAAATCTCATGCAATCATGATCATCGCATGGTATGTCAAAGATTCAATTTCTATTCCATTTTCGCCATCATAATTGTTCGGATAGTGGAAGACGCCCATAAACGGCCATAGCTGAATTGGCTGAGAGCGTTACATTAATTAAGCGGTATGTACTTCATTAATACTGCAAACTTACAGTATTGAACACGTCTGCGAACTATTGAATGGAAAATTTTAAGTAAGCGTTTACAAGTTGTCGCCAAAAAAAAATTTTTATGCACGATGTGATTGGCACAATTGCCAACGAAATGAGCAAAAAAACTAACTAACTGTAAAAGGTGAACGGTGCTGATTGTGGAACTAGCACTTCCCTTGCATTTTTTTTTTTTTCGAGTTTCTTCTTGTTATGTCATTAACGGATAGGTTATGGGATTGTCAGGACAACAAAGTCATAACTGACTTGTAAAGTAAACTCAAAAATATCGATGTGCAGTGTTTTAATCCCCTTGTACATTAGAGAGCGTTGCTTTTTCAAAATCCGAAATTACATACCGGATAAATGCAATAAATTGTTTACGAGTGTGATATTCAAGTTGCTATGTGCTGTCGCTAGCTAAAATTGAGAGGATCCTAAATACCAAATAGAAAATCAATATTTGGCACGAAGATATTCGATCCCGTTTAACATCGATCGAGTTATTGGATCCTTATTGGGACCACAAAACTGCCCAGGATATCCGTTATACAATCCATTAAGTGTAATTGCGCGGAAGTAGTGTGAATGATTACATCACTCATTCTAATTCTTGACTATTGTATCTTTAATTACATTTGTAAACTCAGCTGGGAGAGTGCTCATCGCTTAGTCGATAGAGTTTAACCATGAAGCTTGATGTGCGACCAATCCTGGGAGACTTGATTTAAGTGTTCTGAACAGTAAGACAATTATAAAATGATTACCACAGACCAACTCAGAAAATGGAATTACTCCGACCGAAAAAAAGTGAAACGTCATATACATACGTACAAGAACTGCAATCTATTTTGCTTCGCAAGCAAATATTTATATAAATTTTTGTCCTAAAAAGTGGCTGTTTAAAATACAACGTAACATATATAAGGCAATATATGAAGTGATGGTTAGCTTACTTTGGCGTTTAAGAGGAACGCACGTCTTTGTAGTATATTTGCTTGATATGGATGAGAGTATTCATCTCAATTACAGCAAAGTTTTCTTCTAATTGATTACACTTACTCATCTGGATATGGCGGATTTGGAAAATTCAATGAATTGCATTCATAGGCCGCCAAGGTAACGCTGGCTATATGCGGCCCTAAATACAAAATAAATGTATGCAAGCCGGTACCCAAGCCAACCGACGAAAGTATACCTAAACCAGTCCAATATAACACAAACCATGTATTATTTTTAAAGAAATCAAAAGCCACTTGATGAGAGCCCGGTGTGTGGTATAAAATGACTACAAAACTAGCTAAAACCATAAATATGGCGAACCAAGTCTTTCTTTGCAGTAATCTGTAAAAGAAAATAAATATTTTCGTTTTCCTTAAAGAGAAATGAATTTGATATACTCACTTTTTTCCTAATGTTTTAATTAATTCAATTATTTCTAAACTACAATATGTTAAGGTTGGTATGGGACGACGCCATAACACTAACCCTGCCCGTTCGACGCGCTCTCTATCTCTATCCTTTTGCTGTTTATTATTAAATAATTTAAAGTGAGGTTTCATGTTGTTGGCAGCGGCAGGTCCAATGGCGTTTGGTGGCAAATGTTGTAGTTGTTGTAAGCCACCACCGTTTACTTTTTTACTATGTTGAGAAAGGCTAGTCACGCTGCCACTGTTTTTTGTCTTTTGTATTTTTTGTTGATCTACATGATACGGCTGATGTTGTTGCTGTTGTTGTTGTTTACGCAAACGCGCATTATTCGATTCTTTGTCTTTCTTTGTATGTTGTGACATTTATTTGGATACGATTTTTGGTTTCCTTAGTTCTTGCGATTGTTTATTTGTCTTAAATATATATATATATATATATAGATATATATATATATATACATATATATACATACATATATTTTGTCGCAAAAAATTATTAGTTGAGACCTTATATTAAGATTTGTCTTAACGTTACGGTTTATTCTGTCTTATGCCAAATATTAGGAATAACGTTGTTGTTGGTTTGCTTTATGGATAGTGTGTCACATAGGGAACTAAATATTAGGAAATAGACGAAAGGTGAAGCTTTATTTAAACATTAAGTCAATGAAATTTTAATAGTACAGAACATCTGCAGAGATTCCCTTAAGAAAAAAAATCTATATTGTATACGCACTTTAAAACCATAATAAAATCTTAAATTTTTAATTTTTTTCTTTTAATAAAGCGTTATAGAATTAGCTCGTTTATATATAAACCCCTACTGATAAGAAATGCAGGCTAAAATATGAAAAACAGGTGAGCAACGACAGCGCAATGATTACTGAACTTTGTTACACACGACGTAGTCAACACATTAATATAATAAAAGAAACCTTAAAAATCGTTAGGGTGAACTCTTTGGATGATAATATATTAACGCTTCATACCCTAATATTGCACCATTCATTTGAGGGGAACTTTAATTTAATAGATATACACCAGCAAACAATTCATTAAGTTTTTTAATTTTTCGTATGTAAACATTAATTTTTACAAAAAAAAAATATACCATGCGTTTTACAGCAACAAATACAGCTATAAAATGCTCAGCAAATTTAACGCATGATCTTTCAACACCAATAAAAATTCAACAGAACTTTAATAAACAAACAAAAACAAAATAACGAGATGAAAAGCCATAGAGAAAGAGAGAGAGACAGAATAGAGCATTAATTCCAAATGTGTTAAACTAAGTTTTTTGTTGGCAGCACTTCACGACAAACGTGCAGCGTTGTAAAAAAATCTCAAAGAGAAGAAAAATTTGTCCATTATTGTATATGAATAATTACACGTTTTTAATAAAATTAATAAAAGAACACTTTCCGGTATGAATTAAAAGATTTGTACATATTTTTACTTATTTCTAATACATTCTTAGTAATTTGTTTCTCCTTTACTCATTGCTTTTATTTTAACTTTTATTTTCTTTGTCTTTATGGTACGGTTTACCTTTGATTTGTAAACTTGGAAAATTTTGTAAGTATTTTTAAAGATATAACCAAATATTTTTAATTCTTTCAAAGAGATATTCAATTTAATTTTAATTAAACATTTTCCAATTACTCTTCTTTACACAGTTGACAAATTCTCATTTGATGATTAAAAAAATACTTAACATCTGAGTTAGGTGGGAATCGATTACAGTGAACACACATAGGAAGCATGCTTACGTCAAATAGAATTGCAATAAAAATGAAGTTCGAAAACAGAAATACATTTCAAAGCACTAGTGAGCGTTAAATAGTTATGTGTTAATAACATGATTGGCAACGCTTAATGTATATCAAAAAGGAGTTACAATTAATGGAATCAATTATACATTTTCGCAAATTATCGCACATATCAAAATTTTAATCGGATGCACATTATTTTTAAGCAGCACGCTTGCTTTCATGCACTATGAAAGCCTCATTTCAATCCAAATACTGCTTGGAATGTAATCTTTTCTACGTATACATTCTCCAATTTAATAATATTGAAGTATAAATTACGTTTTACTATTGCACAATGAGTATAATTTTATTTATCTAACTAACGATCGGATAATTATTAAAAAGTTTTGATAATAAGCAGCAAGATATTTTAGCTAATGTTGGCAGTATTGAATTCTGTTGTTTTCTATTAAAGACAGAGTTGTTTCAAAATGTAATTATAGCATTGCCTTTAGTAAACAAAAATTGGTAAAACAAACTCTTTTTTGCCAGATTTATTTTTACTTTTTGATGCGACTTTATTTCTTTTCTATTAATATATAAGTCTTATTGAAAAAATTTCTCCATTTTAGGTGGAAGATAACACGTTTTCTCTCGTTATTTTTAAGTCATGGAAACGGAACCATCTTTTCCAGATGGATCGGCGGTCTCTGCAGCCGACAATTCTGGTGGTACAGAATTGAATCAACCAATGGATACAGAACAGCCTGCACATAATGATTCATCTTTAATGAATAATGAATCAACAAATATGAAAGAATCCAGCAGCGGTCCGATTGGCGAGCAAATGGATACCCAGAATCCTGGCGATATATCTTCGCAAGAAACTCCCGCTTCTTCGAGCGATTCTTTGCCGATTACTGGTAATGCTGCTGTTAATTGTGGTGCATCAGAAACTAATCAAGAGAACTTGGCTACTTTAGCAGCTGTTTCTACTGGTAATTTATCCGTACCTACAGACACTAACTCTGCAAATCAGCCTTTAGAGGCTTCAGTTTCCAAGTCAGAAAAATCAACTGACAAAACTCCTTTGCCTCTTGTATCTAACACTTCAATGAATCTGAAAACACCTCAAGATGAAGAAGATGTGAAATGGCATACTGTAGGCATATTTAATGGTTTATCTACGACTGTCAATAACTACATAGATAATTTAGAATGGAATTCATCAGGCTTTAATCTAAATTCGGACAATTTACCAGATTTGTCAAAATACCAACGTATTAATCTAGAACCCGGCACAGCCTACCGTTTTCGTATCAGAGCTATTAATTCGGTGGGTGCGAGTGAATGGAGTGAAATTTCCAGTTTTAAAACATGTTTACCCGGTTTTCCGGGAGCTCCTTCTGCAATTAAAATATCGAAATCATCGGAGGGTGCCCATTTAACTTGGGAACCGCCCCCGAGCTGCATGAGTTCTAATGAAATCGTAGAATATTCCGTTTATTTGGCCGTTAAATCAAATAAAGAAAAAGAAGGCAAAGCTAGCCAACGTATGCCGGCGCAATTAGCTTTCGTACGTGTTTATGTGGGCGCAGCTAATCAGTGCACTGTTTCTCACATTTCATTGGCACAAGCTCACGTGGATTGCTCTAATAAACCGGCTATAATATTTCGAATTGCAGCACGTAATGAAAAGGGCTATGGACCGGCCACTCAAGTCAGGTGGCTGCAGGATCCGGTACAAGGTTTAAACGCCACTGGTCTGGGACAAGGTAGTTTACTTTCACCTACACGGATAAAACCAGAATTAGGAGGTGCATCACCCAGCAAACGGTTTAAAGCAGCCACTGGAGCTGCACCAAATCGCTTAATGCTACCGCCAGGAGCTGAAAATTAGTTACTAAGCTGATAGATTATCGATTAAGAATAACATTTCGTTCTATTTTACTTCTTATTGAGAATTGATTAACTTTCTTTTTTATATTTGTTTACTTGCGTACCGAAATAGTTTTTACAAAAGCAGGAAATCTTAAAAAAATTAAATCGGGATAACGGAAAAGACAAGTGTTTTCGCTAACCAAAATTACAATTTTTGTGGTTAAATGCAATAATTATTGATGATTAAACAGCTTTTTTAATTTTCTTTACAATTGAGATATTTTTCTAAACCATCTGTAATTAAGAGAAAATTGAGAATACAATAAATATTTCAAATACCAATCCATAAACGAAATAACTTTACCTTCTATGAGTTGCAATTGTTTATCTAAATTTCGTCTAACAACATTCTGCTTTCGTTCGTTAAGCAATAATCAGGATCATATGTCAAAAAGACGGCATTATGCGCTGGTATATCATCATTTAAGGCGATTCCACACACGGCCGCTGTTAATAAGCAAACGGTAAAACGTACCGCCACATTCAAATTGCAATAATTCGCTAATAGAAGCTCCAATACTTTAATAGAACTTAATCAATATATCAACGGGATCAAGGTCGAAACATAATAAAAAAATAAAAAAAAAAAATTGTAAACGCTTATAATACCGTCGTTGCGAATTCTACAACAACAATTAAATTTTTGGTAACCTATTAGTGGAGCTTTTAAATCTTCTCTGAAAAGACTCATAAATTTATATACTTAATATATCCAAATGAAACAAATTACGCAGTACATTGCATTTAATTTAAATTTTAAGCTGCACCACGTTCATAATAATGTCGAACAGCGTCTTCGAAAACTGCACCCACAGTACGCTTACCCCAAATTTGACTTTTATCACGTTTAGCATGACACGGATTTTAACATCAGCTTTTGCGTTTTCATCACTTTGATTAGTTTCCTTTGTCGCACTATTCCCCTCATCAACTTGCTTTAACGACTCAAAATTTAGAGCAATTGTATTAGCAGAAGTTCGCATTAACTTATGATTTTTTTTAACTTGTTGTGGTGAAGCTTTCTTCTCAGTGCTTTCGTCTTCATTTGAACAAGCGTCGGAACTAGAATCATCGATACTAAAATCTGAATCGGCATCGATGTTGTTTGTTAAATGCCCTTTTCCCTTTTTGCGTCCATTTTCGTCTGCACCGACTTTTTCATCTTCATCTGAGCATTTACGCTTCCTATAAGCTCTATTGGGAGCAGCTTTAGCTGATTTTATGGGTTTGTAAGAAATTTGTTCGGTATTAGTATTGTATGACGTCGTTTCCTGAGGTTCTAATTCTAATTTTTTTATTGGTTTGTCGGTTCCAAGTTTTTGCTCGTACAAATGGCGATAGAAACCATCCAAGTCTCTTTGCTAAGTTACATCGCCGACATTTTCCAGGTAATCATCGCGTTTACTCTGTTCTTCTAATTTGCGCATTTCCTCCAATTTTTTACGATATGTGGTGGTAACAAACGATTCTTTATCCTTAAATTTTCCCCCCTCGGCTTCACGCTCCTTCTGCACTTGTCTTTCGATGCATAATTCATGTTCTAATTTTCTTTTTTCCTTACTTCCTATTAATTTCATAATATATTTGGCTTGCTTCGGTTCACGACGTTTTGCTAGTTGTTCTTCTGTTCGCTTATTCTCCATGTCATCATATAATTCGTCGTATTGGAATATTGTGGGATTTTCTGCTAAAGCTTTTTTCAGTACAGAACGGGCAAAGCGCCTTTTCATTGCGCTGGGACCGCTAGGACCTATTGCAAGATTGTTCTTTCTTAATTTCGGTGGACTTCCACTGCCATCTTGTGATTCGGAACTACTGCTTTCATCGAATATGGAAGGTTTTACAATTTCTTTCGTCAACACCGAATTCTTCTGCTGATTAGGCAGGATAAGTCTATACCTAAAGAAGAGATAAAATTAAAAACATTTAATTTCTTAAAAAATAAAATTTTTTCTCACTGCTTTGACATATTTGTTGTATTGGTTAGTTGCAGCTGATTTTTAATTAACTATCAATAAAGTTTCTGGTGCAGCGCATAGCACAGGATTGTTAATTTTATAAGAGAGAGAGAGTGCATATAACAAATCATGCTAACAATACTTGAATATAATATTCTTGGCCTGCTTTTTGAATGTTGCGAGAGTCAAAACAAATGAATTGCCAATGTGGACACAAAGTTCGTTGTCTGAGCATGTACTTCAACTAAAACCTGTTGTTTGGATTTGCGATCAACGCCATCCGCCTGAATGGCAAGAGTCCCGACGTTCAACTCATGCATAATACCTATGGGGAGAGGTGAGTTAAAATGTATAACTAGTATACATATATTCGTACAATGTTTGCTGACTAGCCCTTCAGAGACTTTAAATGATCGTAATCCTATTTTCTTAGTCATAGATTCTCAATGTCATACATGCTTGAAAGTGTGAAGATTTTTACCTAATTGAATGTGTCAAAGGTTAATATCGAACATTTAAAATTTCTTGTATTTTACAAGTTAGCTTAGAATTAAACCGTCATAATTTTTAAACAACGCCCTCGCTAAATTCCCTGTTGAAAGGCAAAGCACAGAGTCGCTTATAATATATATAAATGGTTAAAAGCCCAACTTAACAACTTAAATGTTAACGCTAATCAGCTATGTTAAATGCGCAACTTAACAGACCAGAGGGATTCAATTCTGTAAAATAATGTACCAAGTAAATGATTTGTAAGCATTGTGAGGAGTGAAAGCCATTTCTCGTTTTCAACTCACATGGCCTTTGTCTCGGAGGGTGAAGTATTAGATTAAAGTAGTGAAGACAATAGTAGAAGATAGTTGATATGGTAAGATTGTGTAAAAGCAAGGTTGCCGGGAGTCCGAAATAGGCGATTTCTACGGTCGTCCGAGTCAAGAGACTGACTAATTCAGCCTTGTGGTTTTTCTCCTTTTGAACTGGCAACAGCCAACCGACCAACACACCATCAAGCGAAAGCTTTATTTTTGTCTCTGTTTTGCTTAGCTAAGAGCGAATAAGTAGTAAGCTTAAGAAGTAAAATAAAACATGACGAACGAAACTTTCCAAAAAAAATAAATTTGGTTGCACGAGGCATACGTGGAGTCTGGTGAGTTAGTCCCGGCACCAGGGTAGCCTCACAGCATAATATATGCTTGGAAAAATTAGAAAGGGAAAATGAAAGGGCGTTTGAACAACGTACATAAAAAGACCTAAAGGCTGAATGAGGCTGATTTTCTTTTAAAAACATTTAAGGTGAGTCATGGAAGCTTCTTCAGTATAGAGCTGAACGAAAAAGAATAAGTGAACGTTCAGTTAATAAGTTAGATATGGCGCGGGGTATTAACACGCCACTGGGATGATCAATCGACCTAAAAAACTGCATCTGTCCGATTAAAGATTTGTGAAGATAGATTACTTACAACTTGAATGCTAAGAAGTCGTAGAAAGAGAATTTCAAGAAATGAAGCGTGTTCTCCGACTTTCACGTTATAGGAGAAAAGGCGTAATGCAGTTGTGACGACTATTCGTGCTATAAAACGACCGGCGGGAGATCACTTTAATGCAGTAGAGCGCGCAACGGTATATTTAACTTGAACTGGCAAGTACAGGTTCAGATTGTATAATTACCGTAACTTAAGACATTCATCATCAGCAGAGAGTTGAGTATGCGTTTCAAAATTACTCTCAGACATGACATAGCATCAACTCTTACCGATAACGATTCTTACTTAATTTAATGCTTGCCAGGTTGGCGAGGAGACAGGTGGAGGAGGGTGTTGATACGTGCTGCGGATTCTTTCATCTCGGCTTCAAAGATGTGATTGTGTTTTTTTTTTTTTTTTTTAATATGACCAATGCACTCACGGAATGGTCCCTTATCCAAGTAATACGATACGTCGATCTCAGAAAGAAGTGAGTAAAGTAAAAGGGATTAGAGAGGTGACGGCTGAAGCCTAGTGATTAGTCTAATATGTTCTATAGCTAGAACTTAAGTAAATTTTACCGCACTTGAGATTTGAACCACTGACTTGATAATCGCAATTCTTACCCTATTCGGTTACGCATCCGAATATCATTTCGATTGCAGTGATTAATTGCGGAAGCGGGCGAATATTGTCTGTATAGGCAAAAAAGGGACACAGAATGCAACTTAAGGGAAAATATATATAGAAGACAAGTATATATTTAAATTTAGATTTCATTCATTTCATATATATATATATATATATATAAATATATATATATATATATATATTTAAAATTTTTTCTTTATTGAAATTTTGTTTTTTTTTTTTTTCAAAAAAAAAAAAAAGTTTAGTTTTATTTTATTTAAATTTTTTTCTTTCTTTCTTTTAAGAAGTAAACAATCTTATTTTATTATTCTCTAACTTAATTATACGTTAATTGTTTATCAATTTATTATTTTCTAATACATTTTACTAAGATTATGTCATTTTCCTTTTTACGACTAAATCCAATTTTTTTGTTTTTTTTGTTCACTTGTATATAAACGAAAGATTGCAAAGAAGAAGAAATAAAAAAAAAAAAAAAAAAAAAATTGAAAGAAAATTTGAAAAAAAAAAAATTTTTTAATTTTACATTGTTATACAATTCAATTTAATACTAAATTGATATTCTGAAGAACTCTTCACATTTATGTCTTCTTTCATTCTGCTTTAATTACATTAATCGATGCTCTATAATCGAGGATCATTTTTATATATATATATATATATGTATATATATATGTATATATAAAAATTTCATTCAAAATTCAGTCAAATATATTTGAGTATTTTTCATACAACAACAATTTCCTAAATTAAAATTAATGAATAATTATTTAAGTTTTGATTTTTCATTCTCTTGTTGTTGTTGTTTTTTTTTTGTTTTTTTGTTTTTTTTCACATAACATTCACTTCTCTCTCGCTGAATTGATCTTAAATTTTATATAAATTAGTTCATTAATTCATTTTCTCTTTTCTTCGAATTTCTTTAATATAATCTTTTATATATAGCAAGTTACGTTATTTTCTAAATTTTATATACAAAGTAATTATTATCGAATAATATATGGAATAGTTTTTCATGCTAAGTTGAATAAATATGAAATATTTGAGTTTAGTGTACGGAGTGTGTGCCTAAATGCGATCGATTTGAGTCTCTTGGGCTTCAAGTTCGGGCTCCTCGGCTAAGGTGTAGACACCTTTTAATGCATGAGCGCTACCGTTACAGCCATTCGATGAGTCCAACGATGATGATTGCGTTGTAGGTGTGAGATTATCTAACAGAGGGCTATTCAATGCGGTCAGAGTTGGGCAGGAAGCTGGTGCGCTCGTTGGAATGCTTGGAATATTATTTAGGGGTAAAGCTACACTAGTCTTTAATAGATTAGTTGTCGAGGAGGCAGCACTATTTGGATCCATTGTCAGTATTGGCACCAACTCATGATTTACATAATCTTTCAAGACGTGCATATTATTTAATTCATTCTCCTGATGACTTCCAAACACTAGAGAAGTTGGAGTACCTAAGATGAGAGATGGATATGAATACTTTTTTTTAATTCTCTGTTTTTCTTATTTTCGCATTATGACTTACCGGTAACCAAAGTTTCTTCGGTGGGATTTCTTGGATATAAATTGGTTTTCTTTTCATAGTGTCAAGGTGGCATATAATAACCAGGCTCCTCGTTCGTTGTTTCCATTGTTGAAGTCTTTTTAAATTCTACAACAATTTTTATACGATTCACAATCTCCTCATGTATAACATTGAAACACATGGCCGTTAAAGCCATACCAGACATTATGTAAATCGAACAAAACCATATGGTAGTTGTGGAATCACGTCGGAAACCGGGCATCATATCACCAAAACCGATCGTTGATAGACTCATAAAACAAAAGTAAATGCCATCCAATAAAGGCCAGTCCTCTAAACGGTATAAGACCGCAGCGCCAAATAATATATAAATGATCATCATGCTAAAGCATAATAAAACTGGCGCCAATATCGCTAAACCGTGCATACTGCCGCGCGATTCGCTGGCACTTACTGAATCCAAATCGGGCATATGTAGACTACTGTTACCTAATGATTGTTTTTCAGGCGTTTGATACGCATCAGCCATAGATCCTGAACGTACATAATATGGCTCTTGAATGGTCGCCTGTTGTTGTTTCCTCAATTCCTCTTGTTGGCGTTTCCGTTTCATTCGTCTCTCCTTCTCAGCCATACGTTTCTCATCGTAACAGCAGTAACCACAATTCGAGCATAAGCAACAACATAAAGCCTTTGAAAAGACTTCGCGCGCTACTTTCGCCAATATGCCACCCGTACTAGAAAGATATACTAACGTCAGAGGTATCCCAAAAAATGCATAAGCCAGTGTCACTAAACGTCCTAAAGTAGTGCGAGGCGCGATATTCCCATAACCTAAAAATGTGAAGAGAAAATTAATATATGCAAAGAGAATATTCCTTCTTCTTCTTCTTCTTCTTCTTCTTCTTCTTCTTCTTCTGCAAGTCAGCCAATCAACAACAGATCGTTTACTGAGTTTCAGCATGAATACCAACTTCTTTGCTTCTTAAACCTTAATAAAGTTGCTTGAATGTTTGTTTGAATGTAGATATACATACATGTATTACATATGCGAAGTACGTATGCAACAAATCAAAAGGTGATATATTTATTCAATATCTACTTTGTCCCTTTCAAATTAACAAGCCCCTCAGATATAATACACTTATGCCAGTGATTTGTTGCGTGAGCTTTTCTAACGATGCCGCTTGATCTCCCTAATCGTCACAAAAATCCTCCTGTTCCGGTGAGATGGAGAAAGGGACGCATGTGGCCAAGATCGGAGAATATGGTGGCTGCGGTATGATTACGATTTTGTTTTTGGCCAAAAATATTACAAACAAGCAATGACTTGTGAGCTGCTGGCGCATTATAATGCCACAAGTCATTCATCCGAAACAAATTAAATGATATGAGGCAAGCAAAACTTTTCTTCTCATCGTTTTCATCGATTGTTGACGTGCTGTGACGTTCTATGTGCGCATCGTCAAACACAGTCTCTTTGATCAATAGGTCCTATAGCAAAAAATCGCCAAGCATATTAAAACATGTCTAACCTTTATATGTCTCCAGAAAAAAAAAAACCAAAAATCTAAAAATGCAAAATGGCTGATAACTGTCAACATATCTTGGGGACATATGCGCTAATATAATAATAATAAAAAAAAAGAAAAAAAAATCCGTAAATCGAAAACCGATCGAATGCACGTAGTCTACGGAATTTGTTCTTTGAGCAGAGCACGTGTTTACGCGTCAACACGTCCGCCGCGTAATTGTAATCATTTTACTGGAAATGATCTTTCCCAAGTTTTAATTAATTTTCTCGACTTTTGATGCGATATGTTCTGGTTTTTTTTTTTTTTTTTTTTTTATGTTCAATCGATTTTGGGATGATACAAAGGGCAAAGTTCATTTCATTGTATAGAGTGTCAATGGGCGTTTAAGTCACGGAGTACATTCACACTTTGGCTGTAAACGTTTATATGTATTAATGACAAGCTTTTATGGAAAGAGAAGATTGCGATATAAACTGTCCAATTGCCTGAGTGCGACCACGGAGACCATATATGTATATATATATATATATATATATAGGCAATTTGCAGATCATGGATTCGCAAATAGAAGTGGCGAAATCTGGACAGAAAAATAGGCGATAGTTGGGAGATGGAAAAATCCCATATGTACATTAAGGGCTACTCGTATAAAAAATCTATAAATTTGTAGTTGTAAAAAATATTGTTTTATTAGGTGCCACTGTATAGGTTACTATAGAATATTTCCTAAAATTTCTTTTTTTTTTGTTTTTGTTTTATATGAGTAGCGAATGTCGTCTACTCAGTTAATATGGTGACAGTCAGAAAAGAGCGAGGAAAGAGATCGAGAGAGGGAGATAGAATGTGACTGCAGCCTAATGGGCGTTTGACCGATTGGTAAGTGTTGTGCTTTTACCGATTGGTTATTGCTACGTATGCAAGTATGCCTTTAGCCCACATTTCGCGAACATCGACTTAGTGGCCGCAAATCCTACCTACTCGGCTATTAATGCGGATAAGACGATGTTCATGAGCGAATATCTAAGCTTAGCTCCTCAGTTAGATCTATGCGTTCTTTATTGATATAGACATGAGAACGTCTTTGCACTTTTGACCTTGAAAATTATCGAATTGATGGGAATGAAGAGACTTACGACACGTTCCGCATGACGGTGGAATTAGCAAGAGAGAGAGAGAGAGAAAGAGAAAGAGAGAGAGAAAGAGAGAGAGAGAGAGAGAGAGAGAGAGAAAGAGAGAGAGAGAGATGAAGAGAAAAGATTTCTAAACTTTTCGAATACGACTGGTTGGTCTTCCCCATTCGGTATGTAATGGCCGCATACAAAGTTAGCCGTGATGTGACTCTATCGTTTTCCAGATCGTTCCTTATAATTACAACAAATTTTGAAAAGGAATTAGCAGAATAATAACAATGGTCTGCTAAGAGGAATTATTGAAACTACAATACGTAGAGAAAATAACTCAGCTTCGATGTGGCATCAAGTTAAAGTTTAGAGTTCTACGAGTATTTCGAACTTGAAGAAATTGAAACGATTTTGTAATCGTGTACTCAGATATACATTCTCCTTGAGGCGATATGATTATATCAGATCAGATTATATTCTGCGTTTTTTACGGTATTCGTTCATTAATTTTAAGAAAATCCGACTACGGCTTAGCCTTTATAGCTTTATTCTAAGGCAGAGGTCGAAGAAGTTTAATTTTAGTCACATTTCTTTCAACAAGTCGTGTCGCAATAACCACTTGTTGATTTCGCGCGTTACATTCTCTTTGACCAAATTGTTTGCTGTAAGAGTTAAAAGACCCTGCTCAAGGACCCTTACCCTTACCTTCAAACGTTAGCTTGTAATTTTGTTATTCTCTTGAACGGCTTAAGAACGGTTTGGCTTTATTTTTGCACACAAAAAGCCCTTCATTTCGTAGTTCCAAACTTCTTATTGAGATTTGGATCAAATTAATTTTCAATACATTGCGATGGACTTTGTCATGTTATTTATGGAATACAACATCTTTTACTCTGTATATGCATAGAGTAGTGAGAAATGCTCATAGAGAACCGTGGATGTTATATCATATATAAATGATTCTTTTTTAAAAATACATTCATATATAGCTATTACGTAATACGTATATGCTCAGTTGCATTTATGAAATTTTTCATGAGATCGTAACTTATTGATCCGAAATATTTTTTTTATTTTTTTTTTTTTAAATTTTTAGTTCAAATGATTACATATTGTTGGATTATGCAAATTTTCTACAACAATGCGCGCGCGGAACTTCATCTTCGTATTTACTATTTTTTTGGTTGGCAAAACCCTGTCACAAGTGGATGTCGTTTGATAGAAGTTTACAAAATTTTCCTAATCAACGTTGCATGAATGGAATTTTGTTTGTTGTTTTTGATTCAAAATGTCAACCAATAATTTTATCCAACGAAACAAGCCCACGCTTAACATCTTCTGGTGTAGTTAGTTACTTTCCTTTTAATTATTTGTTTATGTATATTGTTTTAGATATAGTTAGTTAATTAATTATTTAGTTATTAAACGAACTGTAATCGAGATATCATTATAATGATGCCGAGCTTTTTTACCCGAGCTTACCGGTCATCATCGTTATCATATAGTATAGCAGAAATTAAAAGGAGGAAAAAAAACAAAACTAGATTTTCGTACTCCATAATATTGGATGGGTAGGAGTAATTTTTTCTATTTATTAGAAGAAAAGTTAAAGTTCACATTGTGTATTTGTTGTTGTTTATAAGTAATGAGCAGGAACCATGGAGCAAAGCAAAAGTGTTCTTAGTTTTTGTTGCATGGACATGCCCTTTGAGCAGTTTTTTCAGGCGAAATTTGTGGGTTACCACCACACAGTTGGCCACACACACAGATGGAGAGAAGAACATACGGACATGCTCAGGAGCATATACTTTATGGAGTTTTAACGCTTCCTGAAATTAAATTTTAATACAAATGTAATATTGGGTAGGCGTGATCAATTTTTTCCTCTTTTATACAGATACTATAAGATCGGTTATAAAATATAGATTTAAATATATATATATATAAATTCATCTCTGGGAGTAATGAGAAGAATATAGAGATGTCCTTCACTTTATGTAGCACTATATAGATGGGCGCATTGTCAAGAGCAATCTGCATGCAAGAATTTCCAGTGTTTGCGCCATATTTGATGATGATAGTTGCATTGTTGTGGCCAAGAAAATGTTTATAACAGACTGTATACAAACGGACAGACGGACATATATAAATCGATTCAGAATTTCATGCTAATCAGAAATATATGTACATATTTATTATGTTGTCTCTGAAATTTTCCCCCTGGGTGTCGCATGCGTTTTGACAAAATGAATAGATCTCTCATCCCTCGCTGACGGGTATAAAAGCTGCAATAATGGAAAATAATGAAAAAGCTGTAACGCGGCAGCCCTGTCTATGCCTAATGCGAGTGAGTGCGAATAAAGCAAGCGAGAAAGTTAAACTTTTCAAAATTTTAACATGGATGCCATGAGTTTTCAATTCATTGACTTAATCGGGTTTTTTCTCGCTTAAATTCGCTTAAAATCTCTTAATTAAGTCGAAATGGATTTCGATCGAAACGCGATCTCTTATTATACTTTATAGTTAATAAAAAATCCCATTTTCGATTCATTTAAAGAGCTAAGTGTGAAAATCATGAGGAAATTTTCCGATAGAAAATTTTGCCAGTGGCAAACATTTAACTGTCTACCACACTTGATCGCTGTGTTGGTTAGATTGGCGTTTCGTTGCGTGAGTCCTTTAAGTCTTTTTAAGCGAGCCTGTCCGTCCATCAAATTCTTTTTAAGGGCAAAGCTTGTAAAAGATGCATTTCCAAGTCTCAACAAACAAACTAAGGTGTAAGGTAACTTAAAACCTATCGCAGATATGGATTTAAAAACTTAGTAGAGGTCACCTGTTCTTCCTATCGGTTAACTGTTGGGACAAGAGACCTTTTTGATATACATGTACATGTACATATATGTGTATTTGGTAGAGAATCGGACGAGATTTAAAACTCGCTTTAAGGCATTTTTCGGCTGACCGATCTTGGGCTATTTTGTTCGTTTTTTTTTATTTTTTTAAATTTTCAAAAATTTTTTTTTTTTTTGAATTACGTTTTTATCAATTATTAATTAGAAGTGCGTTGCATTTATATTTTAGAAATATTTAAGCTTTTGATGAAGTTTTGGGCTAAAAGATGAAGATATTTTCCAAATGGTATTTAAGTGAATTGTTGAAATCGATAATCGCTGTTAAT